TGGCTGACTGACTGACTGACTGACTGACTGACTGACTGACTGACTGACTGACTGACTGACTGACTGACTGACTGACTGACTGACTGCTTGACTGACTGGTTAACTGACTGGTCGACTGACTTACTGGCCGACTGACTGACTGGCCTACTGGCCGCGTAAATGACTGACTAACAGACGATTGTACGTACTCAACGTTCTTGGGATCCTCCATCCATGCCTGGAAGTGTTCTGTAGCATTACCAATGCAGGTCTTGTCTTGGACTTTGCAAAATAGTGAAAGGAAATACTCTCGCTTTATTCTGAAGAAAAAATAGGAAAATCACTGGTTCATAATAATGAACTTTTTGTTACCAGTAAAAGTGTAGTTTTACATAGTGTGTAGAATTTTGCGATGCATGTAAAAAATATAAACTGGCTGTAAGTTCCATGTAAATTAGTTTTGAAAGTAAAGATCTTCCATATAGGACTAAACCGTGCACACTGTTTTTCAAACCGAACTAGTATTGACAGACCAAGGTGTGTCACGTCTTTAGCATTTATTTTTAGCCATATTGATCAAATATGAAAGCGTCGTTTTTCTACCGCTCCGAAAAACCATGCTAAATTAAAGTGTGACTTAGCTAGCTGTGCCCTGATTTGATCATCCCAGAGATTGTTTCAGGGCTCGATGTGCGAATTTGGCATGCCCTGCCTTTGATCATCCCAGAGGTTGTTTCAGGGTTAGATAATAATTGAAACTGAGCAAACAATGTTTGATTGACGGAAGCCAAAACTCTGGTGGTCCATTGTGAAGAAAAATGACTCCAGCTAGTCTAAAACAACAACCAGATTCGGAAAAAAATATGGACTAAACCGTTTACCAAAGAAGGCTCATACCAAGACACAAGAAAGTTTTTATTACAATAATGGCTGCATATGTTAATATCATGTACTTACTTGTCGATCATAGTACCAACATCGTTAAAACCAAGTCTCTCGTACTGATTCTTTCCAAGAAATGCCATGTATTTCTAAAACAAGGCAAAGCAAATGCCTTTCAATTGAGTTTGATTTAACATCATACAAGTGTCTGCCCCCAGAACTACGAAAACCAACCAACCCAAAAAGGGTGGTACACTTGACTCCCGCCACTCACCTCTACGGCAGCTGGTTCGACACGACATCACCTGAGAGTACAATTTCTGTGGTTTCTCCCCAGATTCAAGTTTTCTTCGCCCCCCGGATTTTCCAGCACCCCTCCTTCTCCAAGACCGAATATAAGCTAGAATCTGCTTTCATTTCATTTTTCATTTGATCTATGAGTTAGGTGTGTCTTAGCTCAGCCAAGTTCTACGCTGCTTCAGAATCCGTTAAAATCAAAGGTCAATCTATCAGTGTCCTTGTCAAGGCTTCAGTGCATTTCTGCTGTTAATAATCAACGAAGCAAGTGTGTTCAACTGTGTCTTATCCCCACTTTTTCAAAATAGTTTTTTTTWAAATTAAATAGTCGATTTTCCGCGGAAAACTATTTCCATAGAGCAGGTCTACTGTTTTGTGGACGCTCCAGCGAGTTCGGGAAAATGGGCTATTGGTTAAGTGGTTTCACATGGGTCACTTGGTAGCCATGTCGTAGAGCATGCGCAGGAACAACGCARCCTTCTAGCACGATAATACATTTCAATTCCCAAATACGAAATTTCCATCGTTTTGTACTGACATACTCCACACATGGCTACCGTAAAACGTGACCATACGATACATAAATAATCAGGTACCATGAGATATTTGTAAGCATTGCTTTCTTTTGGTAATTTGCCACTGAGGAATGACATAATCTGGAAGAAGACTTCCCAAGGATCTATTTCTGTTTCTTTCTCCATGTATTCTGTCAACCTAAGGGCCGTGGAAATGTTCAGCTTATTGACTCTTTAGAAAGAATTAAAACAAAATTAAAATGTTAGACAAGCATGTTTTCGGATTCTTGGCTCAAACTATTATCATTATATTATTGATTTTGATGTTGATGATTATGGTGGTGGTGATGGTGGTGGTGGTGGTGGTGGTGGTGGAGATGATGATGATCATCTGCAGCAGCACCATAATATATGTATATATATTCCTATTTGTTATATTATTTTCATTTTATTTTCATATGACATCTACCCTGGGTGCCAGAGGCCGTGTGGCACTAAGGGTATATGACAACGTTCTTGCAATTAGGTGTGTATTGTTATACTTAAAAAAAAGCTAATTAAAAGCAAAGATTAACTTACTTTACTAACAACATTGCATCCACAAGAAGTCCAGCTCTTCCGGAAGAACTGAAGACCTAGAAAAAGAATGAAAACAATATTTTTGAATTGGATGGAATGTCGACAAGGTAATTTTGTTTACTGTACGATATGTTAGAAAAGGAACTGCCAAAATAATCCCATTTCGAGTCCGCCTTTGCTCAGTCTTAGTCTCGATTGCTGAATATTTTAACGCACAACGGATACTAAGGCTAAGCAAAAAGAAAACTGGAAACTGGTGACAGCCATGATGGTTGATCTAACAAGAGAAGGTTAAAAAAGAATGCTTTGTATAGTCAACAAACATGGCGGATTGGAATAGGAGAGAACAATAACCGGGATCTAGCTCCAATATGATGCGTGGCATTTTAACTAAGAATTATGCTTGAGAATCAGTAGCCAAAACGTCAGTGTTAATTTCTATAAGCCAGAGCCGACAAAACAGGTGTAATATAGATTGACGAATCTTGGAAGAGACGGAGAGAGAGAGAGAGAAAAAAAGAAGGTATTCTGCGCACAACACTATGCTCAACCTTACCGTATGCTGTCGTTTGAGCTGCATGGCCAAAGCTTTCCAGTTTTCTTCTTCATAATTTGTAATAAAGAAGCCTTTATGCCCTAAGTTTGCTTTTATCCAACCATTACCGTCCCACTTAATAACACCTATGGGTAAAGACATTGATATCTGAATAAGATAATCAAATATTGATAAGACGCGTCTTTAAGCACCTGGGAAAGAAGCACTCAAGCACTCTCTACCATCTTGCTCTTTGCGAGGTAACAGCATTCTGTAAGATGCATAATTTCCATTATTTATTCCTTTTTTTTTCTAAGGCAACTGCACAACTTTGCCAATAAAATATAGATCTTAGCCAAATACAAAATGAACAGAAAGTTATCCATTGTTTCTTTGTTACTTTTTTCTTTTTCCTTTCATTAATTGATTTATTAAAATAGTTTTGGTGATAACGGGAAGGAATGCGGTTTTACAACTACCAGCTGTCCGAAAGACTACGCGCGAAAATGATTGTTGGTAGAAATGAAGCGGCCCTCTCACCAGTCTCTCACTTTTAGACCGCGCGGTTCATAACATGAATTTTGAGTCCGCCATCTTGAAGATTTGCCTAGTTAGTGAATAGTGGCAAATTTTTCACGCCTTTGTGTCTCCAAAGCCTCATCTAAATTAATTTACTTATACACAAGTACTTCTGTTGATTGTAAGTGAAAGAAACATGAATTAATGCGAATATAATTATGACTCTCGATCGTGAATTGTCACTGAATCGTCTTGGTTCTTCACTCGTAAAAACAGAGTTTGTTTACATTTGATTTTACTTGCTATGTGTCGAGAAATATTCCAAATAGCAAGATTAAGTACTTAAAAAGGTTCTTGTGCTTTAGCTGAGTCACTCTGCGAGAAAATAGCAAAATAACACTCGTTCAAGCAGCACAGATCGCTGTTTCAACTCTACTCGATGGGAAGAACGACCTAGAGGCAGCCATCAACTTTTTTAGCGGGTTTTTCTCGAAGTTTCCGTTACTTATGAGCCATAGACAAGGCAAAGAAGAATAAAAACACGAAGCTCCTGTGAACCTACTAGCATTCGTAAATACCAGACTTTATCAAACGCCACTCTCGAGCCATTCAATCGTCTTTTATTCACCTTTGTAGGTAAATAAACAGTGAAATTCCATGTAAATAATATAAGAAATATTCGAATGTGTTGTAAACTCTATTTTCTATCATAAATCCTTGAAATCCGTCAGAAATCCCTTCCGAGCTTCGTCGAACCGCTTTTTTTCTTGAAAATGAAGGCCGGGGACTTTGAACGAGGGCCGCTAAACGACTGGAATTCAAAACGCACCGTGATTGGTCACTCTCCGGACAGCTGGACGCTCTCCGGACAGCTGGACATAAACAATCAAAACACGATAAAGTTATATGATTACGAGAAGTTTTTTAACCTACTTATCACATCTATTGTTGGTTTGCAATCATTCCCAAGAGAATAAAATAACAAAAGACAAGGCGGCCATGTTGGATGATACAACAAATGGTACTAAATTCATCCAACATGGCGGCTGTGAAAACCATGAATTACTTACTTGACGACTTGTTCATCCAAGTAAAATGACTACTGGACTGATTTTCGATGGCATATGATAATGGAACTACCCATGAATCCCTTCAAAAGACAAGAAACAATCAACGGTATTGTATTTTTTGCAGCTTAGCACTGATAACTCTATCAAATCCAACTCGGTAGGGGTCTATCACCAATGCTGCATTCTGATTGGATGAGCTACTAGTAGGCTATAAGTTATAGCCTACTAGTAGCGAAAAGTGCCGGTTTTGAAAGCCAAAAATAATAAATAAATGAATTTAATTTTGATTCAAGACTTGTTTGCATCTAAATATTTGACCGGCTGGTTAGATTTGACTAAAACGATTAGTCCTCATGGCCTCATGGCCTCATGGCCTATGAGTCAATAGTTCATTCATGCTCGATCAAGACTAATTGCTAATTAATATGCATGAACTTCCTAATGATTCATAACAAATCCCAGAAGGCTATTAGTGATAGACCACACGTAGAGAAAAATACAATTACAAATATTTTCAACCTAATTGTAAAATTGTTTGTATCCTTTATTAGACCAWTTAATAGGTTTAATCTAAAACGATTCAAATCTTGCCCACATTGTCTACGAGTCACTAGCCCATTTGGCCATCGACCTTTAGGTTTATGTACTATTGACTCGTATACCTTTCGGGCTGCGGATCTAATTGTTAGAAACATCATTTGATATTGAACGTAATGTTTTCCTATTGAAGCCCACGTGTCATTCCCTGTAGCGCTCGTCTCTCACCGTGATGCGAGTAGTCGCATGTGAGTATAAATGTTGTAGTGAGTAGGGTTGCTTATTGGTTCTCTCCTGTTCTTCGAGGGCTTTTCTGCGGGTTCTCCTTTTTTTTCCTCTCTCCGTAAAAATCGACTTTTTGATTCCAATTGGAATTCAGTGGACAAAGAGCCACTGTGGAAATGCCTCATTTATTATTATTTCTTTTTTTAACGGTTACAGAATGTATACAAGTTAAGTCGAACAAAGAATATTATTTTAAAGAGAATAACACGCGATCTGAAATGGGAAAACATTACGAGAAAGCTAGAGGTGTATTGCCCCGGCTCAAATCCTTACGATTCAATGATTTTCTTAGTAATGGTAACGAGTTAATGCAATCGATTTCACGTCGCGTTCTGTATACGTACTAACGTACCCAAACGGTGACTTGGAGGCTAAAGCTGTAAGGTTAGCCTTGTCGTCCATCAGAAAGCGCCTTTGGCTGATCAAATAGTGAGTTGAGTTGATTTTCTTGAACGTCAACACAGGGTAACCCATCTGTAGTATCCATGTATCCATGATTTGCTTGACATCAACGCACTTCCCTTGCGCACAGCTAGCCTATGAATTGTTTGCAAAAAAAGGTTAGCAATAAAGCTTGGCGCGCAATGAAATATGCTTTGGTGGAACCTCCCTTTTATCATCAGAAAAACTTGCTGTGGTAGTGTCCATAGTCCATAACGTAGCAAGGAAAGCAAAGAGTCACAGTTATTTTCTCTGACTGCGGCCGCCATGTCCCCCCCAAGTAGATTTGATGAACCGCCTGATCAGAATTCTTTTTGCATGCTGATTGGCTGATTTTTGATGGACTGTCAAAACGAGACCAACTGAATTGGCTCACGCTTGTGAGCTTCCTGCTCCCATTACTTATATCACCTCACCAATCACATGGAATAGTCGTGTGAGTCTACAAAGTAACATTTTGATGGTAGACGAAAAGCTATGAAGATTTCAAGTGTGACGTCAATAAAAATGCATGAAAACGTTTTCCGGGTCCATAAACGAAAAGCATTGCTTATATATTTTTCTTTAGGGAAGGATTTGTTGTCTAAACTTCTAATTATTTCAGGAGGGGATTAAATCATTGAGAGCCTTTCTTAATTTAGCGCCTTTTGTGTGAGCAACTTGAATCCTGGAAATAGGTTCAGAATGTTTAAAAAAGCTATATGCATATGAAATCCCTCTGTATAGATATTCAAAACGTTGATATCATACTGACCTCAGTCATTGCCCTCCACAGATCATCAGACTCGACGTTGGCAAATGCGTGCCTTTTGAAGTAAATCTAACAAAAACAATAGAGGAAATCCAGTCAGTATAAAGAAAACATAGACGTGACCTTTCCTTGGTTTTGTTAAACAGGACTGAAGTATTTTGTCAAGTCAAGTCACTAACTTCGGTAGTCCCTTCAGCCATGTGGCTGGTATCCCAGGAGGCCGACGTTGCGCGCTTTACACTCTCTCTCCATCAGTAAGTTTTTAAAGCTACAGTCACAAGAGGTCGAAGAGAAGCCAGACAGATCAGCCAATCAAGATAATATAAATTTTTGGGCTAAAATTAGAACCGAATATTTCTATCATCAGACATATTATCGTACCTTCAATCCTTCAAGAAAAGTGATATTTCCAAGAAATCCTTCGAGCATACTAATCACACGAGATCCCTAAAAGAATCAGCATTGAGAATAAAGACCAGGGCACGGTTGTACCGGCGAAGGGTGGATAGTGCTATCTGATGGATAAATCCTATACGGTAGATAACTTTAATGGATATCGGCATCGACTTATCCGGCACTGCATAAGAGTTTATCCGTTGAATAGCGCTATCCACCCTTCGTACAACCGGGCCCAGACCAACGGATGCGATATAGCGAGATTAGTCATTACGGTCGTAGTCGTAATAGCTCGTGACGAATGAAGTAGGTTTTGGTGAACGCAATCAAGACGGCTTATTCATGGTTATTTTTAGGCAAACCCTCTCACCAAAGAGAAAATAATCTATTTCATTTATCTGCCATTTTGAAATTGTTTCAATGCTATTTTAATAAATTCTGGAAAAAAAAAAAAAGCATCTCGCTTGTTAACTGTTTCATGTTTGTGTCACTACGGCAAACAATATTGACTTTTTTCGGTTGCACGTACCAAGGGAAGAATTAATAATCCGCGTAAAGTTAAATTATAATGATATGATGAGATCGTATTGGATGTGTACTACCTTGTTGTATATTATAGAGGAGAAAAACTCATCCGGGCTCTTTGCGTCAAGTTTAACAGGATGCGAGTACAGTTCGGCGTCAGTTTCTAGCAGCCCAGTCAAGCTACTTGACACTCTATCATCCTGCAATGAATACGTAATAAATGTAAGGATTTTTTACATTTGACGTAATATAATGAAAATAATAATGATGATGATGATGATGATAATGATGATGATGATAATAAATGCCCGAAAAAGGTAAGTCTTCAACTTCTGTTTGAAGACAGTAAGTGATTGGATTTCACGTAGATTGGCAGGCAAGCCATTCCATAGTATCGGAGCGGCTGCATTAAAAGATCTGGCTTCAAACGTGGGAAGCATTTTCCCTTTAGGTGGTTCCAATAAAAGACTAACATTAAATATAAGATTATACGAAGAATTTGGCTTAACACAAATTAATTCTCTAAGATATAAGATGGAGATGTTCCATGAACTGCTTTAAGAGTTAAGAGTTAAATATTAAAATGAATGCGTAAGCGAATTTGCAGCCAGTGGAGTTCATAAACCGTCGGACAGATTAGCCATCCATTCGCTGATTGTTGTAAAAGAAGCCGCTTTATGAAAGATGATTTGGGCTTTTCTTTCAAACTAAATTATTTTACGTCATCCAATATGTTTGCAAAGTTGTGAAAAAAGTTTTATGTATAAAACTGTATAAATGTGGGTCTGAAATACTTTTTTCCACGACGGTATAACAGATGTCATCCCAGTGTCAGCAAAATAAGAAGCAAATCCTTCATTCAGCCACAGATCGTCCCACCATTTACAAGTTACAAGGTTACCGAACCACTTAAACAAGAAAAAGAAAACAAACGCATATTAAAAAGGTGGCATTATGTCAGTAGGTTTTTGAAAGTGTGAAAAAGTAAAGGATAAAATAAAGTTCAACAGTCAATGGTGAAACTTGGTAACAGAGTTTGTGACGTCACTTACTCAAAACTGAACACCTCCATACATTTCTTTGTATTGTGATTAACAACAGTAGCAGCTTTTTTCGTTCTCCTTTCAGTAATAGATCACGCAGGAAGTGACATAGGCACGAAAGAGGTGTAAGGAGAACACACTTTTTAAACACTTTTTGAGTGCTTAAGGCGCTTCCCAAGTGCTCTTTATTACTGAACGGAGCACGGAAAGAGCTCTTTTGTTCGTTTTATTATATATATATATATATAATAGTATATATATATATATACTTACTAATTTTATTTCTGTATTGATTTGAGAAAAAAAAAAAAAAAAAAAAGGTTGGTCGAAGGATCTAGCAGCACTTTGCGCAGCACTGTGCTCCTTTCACTAATAGAGCACAGCACAGTAAACGACCAATCAGCGTGCACGTACTATCCTAACTATATATAATACAATTAAAATTTCCTCTAGCTTCATATTCAGTATTGAAGAAAAGAGACAAAACAAATGATTCCAAACAAGTAATGTACGTTAAATCCCTCAGCGGATGAATTATGAAGTTATTTACAAAGAAAAGTATGGATCTATTTTTGTGTTATTGAGAAGACGTCACAGACTCCTATAAACATTCTTTAAAATTATACAGTAATGATAAAAAGATAAATTATAAAAGATAAATTCTCTTAATTATACATACATCATATAAAGAAAAATCTTTAACCAGTGATTATTAGACCCTTAAAGATTGTTCCATTGACGTTTCAGCCTAATTAAATTTCGAACGATTTTCGTACTAGTCCCCCTTTTTTGCTTATGTAATAGGCGTTATTAGTCGTATCTCTGAGACCTAGATAGAACCTACCTGGTGAGCGATTTCATGGGCCATGAGCGTGGTCACTGTCATTTTATCTCTCTCTGTCGACTCCTTTGAATCCCATAACAATACTTCCTCTCCATAAATAATTAGTCCCCAGTTCTCCATCGCTGCTGTACCAAACTGTGGCACGGCAACGTGATCTGAATGGCAAAAAAAGAAGAAAACAATCCTCTGCTTTTGGTCTAGTTAAACGCTCATTTTTCAATAAAATACTATCTTTGAGATAGTAAACATGGTGCATTGTTGTCTAGCTTGTCTAGCTATAGTACACATTTTTTTGGTCAACATACTTTATATGGTGTTGCTTGTACTGAGGCTAGACCACAATTCACCTTGTTTATCGAACTCAACAAAATGCGTATTGATTGACTGATTAATTAATTATACAGCTTCTCATTAATCCCATATAGGTAACTGTCCAATTATTTTCTTAATTGGACAGGTCTTGTCAATATGGGATTAGTTAGGCAGCAATATAATTAATAGGTAATGGGATTTCATGCTCCCCAATCAAGAAATAATTAGACTCGAAAAATTCCTCTGACTGCAAAATTGGACTCGGCCTACGGCCTCATCCAATTTTGTCAGTCCTCGGAATTTTCCTTGTCCAATTATTTCTTAATTGGACCGCATGGAGTCCTATTACATATACTAATTGATTAATAGATCTAATTACATTCGTATGTAAATTTCCCATTTCAAACCATATAATGTTTTTACATAGATAACGACTAGTTTTGGAACTAGCTTGGACTGCGTCAGTGTTTTTTAGCTGAAACAAATGTGTCGTATCTACTAATGTTTTTACATGATCAGTCTCTAAAGAAGTATTCTATAGAACGGTCTGAACCCAGGTGAATGAATGTTAATCGAAGTAATATGATCATCCGGGTGGATGTAGTCCTGAGAAGGACTGTTTGATGTGACTGACGTTTCGACAACCTGAGTGCACTCATTAGACCGATGCCGCCAATTACGCTTCTTCATGTAATTAGGCTATTGTTATCATGGCAGTATAAATACGACCAATCTGACTTTTATTCTTCACTTGACTCTGAAGATGACGTTCTCTCAGGTTGTCGAAACGTCAGTCACATCAAACAGTCCTTCTCAGGACTACATCCTACCGGATGATCATATTACTTCGATTAACAAAGAAGTATTCCTTTATCTTCCTGAAATTTATTCGTTAATATTTTGTGGATATGAAAACATCTGAAAGAAATATTTCTCCAGAGAATATCATGTAAACATCACGTGGTTCGGAATGGGCAATTTTCTATTGATTGATTGATTGGCTTCTTATTTTTTTCAGCTTGTCACAAAGTAAAATTCGACTTTTAGCAATAGTTAAAACCATGCAGAAATAAATATTTTTATAAAACAACTGTTATGAATGTCGCGTTAATTCTAATTGGTTTAGAGCGCATTGCACGCACTCGCACTTTCCGTTGCGTCATTCCTATCTAAAATAACGGTTATTGTAATTTGTATTTTATAAAAGAAATAAAAAACTTGCTTACTGTGCTGTGTGCCGTTATAAAGCACTTGGGCATTGGCAGAACACTCGAGAAGTGTCGAGAAGCACTCCTCTACGTGTCATGCTTCTCCTAACACTTCTCTCGTGTTCTGCCAACCCCCGCGTGCCTTATGACTGCACACAGCACATGCGCGCGTTTTCTATTTCTTCAACTTAWTATAGAATTGATTGATTGCTACTATACCTTCTTTGGACAGTGGATATGGAACTCCAAGATAATTTTCGAAGAAAGTCAAGATTTTCCCACCAATACTCGATGCATAGTGAGTTTTATTAAGATAAGATGGACGGCTATAGATTCTGATCTAAAATGAAAGTTATATATTACTTAGAAGACCCACCTCCTATATTTCTATTCACCATTTTCCATACATCGGTTCACTGGCCAAACACACAGCGCTCAAGAGATGCGCCTAAGTACTTTCAAAATATTATTCACATTTGAACCTTGCAACCTCGACTGAATGCTTCGTGTTTGACCAATGAACCTATGCATGGAAAATGGTGAATATACTTTAAAAGCGCACACAAATCTTACGCCACGCTCACAAATGCCTCCAAACAATTGTTGCATTTGGGACAATTTAGATGCATTTAATGTGTTGACCCACATGCCTTGATTTGGAACAATTGTTTGAAGACAACAGAGTGTAACTCTGATATCTGTTATTTAACCTAATTGGTGATTATCAAGCGGTGATTTATTAAGTTCCAAAGGTTGCCAGAGTCTAAGTAATACTAAAACGTTTTTTTTTTAGCCCTGAATTTCATATTTGTAGTCTAGAATTATACTAAAACAATTAATTTTCACAACTGATAAAATCTTTTTTTTATTTTTGAACTGATTTTGCTTTGTGTGTGTGCAGCATTTCGATCTCCGGTGAGTATTCATATTCTAGTTCAATCTTCAAGTGATTGTTCTAAAATATCTGTTAAGAATCTSGCGCTTTGATTGGATGGGAGCGCGTTTTTTATGAGGGCACACAGCACACGCGCACACTTTCTATTTAATCATTTGTAGCCAAAATAACGGTTACTCTTATCCTTATTTTATAAAAGAAATAAGCAACATGCTTGCCTTGCTGTGGTAGCTACAAAGCACTCGGGGATTAGCAGAACCCTAGAAAAGTGTCGCGAGACACTCCGCTACTTGACAAGCTTTTCCTATCACTTTCGTGTTCTGCCAATCCCCGCGAGCGCGACTCCTATTTCTTCAATTATTTAAACAATTCTTTGCGGGACGGAAATTTTTCATTCTTATATTATATATTTCATTTCTCACCTTGATGTTGTTCTTGCTAATCGTCTCCACATATTTAAAGTCCCCTACTACAAATGCTAATAGATACGTTGACATGGTAACGGTCTTCTCGTAGTAGTCAATCTTCTGTCCATTAATTGTCTCAGTCTTGTAGATAGGCATGTTGGACAGCGCGACGTAATCAGCACGATGAGCGATAGAGGTATTAAATGTGGCTTTGAGGGCAGGTTCGTCAAAACATGGAAATGCTTTACGTGCGTACGTTTCTTGAAACTGAGTGCCAGCAATAAAGCTATGATAAAAGTGCAATTGTTCAAAATAAGACATCAAACAGCACTCCGCCAGTTTGAGGTTTAACACAACAAATGTATACAGCTTTACTGAATAGTGCATTTCAGGACCAAATTATTGTGGGTTCTCGTTGATTGAAATAAAAAGAAAATATACAGCTATTTGTTCTCTATATGTACATAGTATATGATTATCATTTTTTTTAAAGAGAGAGAGAGAGAGAGAGAGAGAGAGAGAGAGAGAGAGAGAGAGAGGGAGAAATAGATCTTTTGTTAAAATACGGACATGTCAAACATGTTACTTCAGCCGAATATGGGAACTTAAGAAATTACAATGTGTTGTATTTCATTAATTTAATCCTGGTCCTCACTAGTGCATAAGCACAAGCATAAGCACAAACGTGAACGTCCTCACTGGGGAATTTAGTGACATAAGCATAAGCACGAGCATTAGAAGAACATTTTGATCCTTATGCTAACATTATGCTTGTGTCGCTAGTGAGCTACTTACGCCTTCTGTCCATTGGGGCGAGTAATACTTTTACGAAACATCCCTGAAATCATGCTTTGAAAGAAACCCTGAAAAGTGATCTTCAGCAGGTATGGTCCCTCTTGAAGCTCTGAAGACATTTGGATTACATGGTAAAAGTATTTTTCGAATGGAAAATGATTCTTGACCTTCATGATCCCTAGGAAAAGATGAATGGGACTCAAATGTTGGAATTCATATCATTTATTTGTCATGAACTAATAGTAATACGCAATACCACTTAGCTATTGACTGGTTTCTTATCCTTGTCCTTCTTATCCTGGATTTTTGCCACACTACTCGTCGATTATTAATACACGTTACGCAAGTCAACTTTTCGCGCAAAGTTCGTTCGAAAATCAACATGCTACACAGGACAATTTTAAAGTTTTTTTAAAAGTAACGGACAAGGGCTCGTCATCCTCTGTCTAAGCCTCCATCTAGTTTGTTGACATCGTCTCATTGCCTGCAATTTAAGTAAGCGTTGCGCGAAAAATCGTGGATGAAGCTGTTACACTTACAAAATATTGACCATTCTGCATTGCGAGTTTTTGAAGCTGAATCATAAACTTGCAACGAGTTACCAGCATCAATTTTTCGCGCAACCTCATATCGCGATAAATCGCAGTTGCGAATCGTCCCGAGTAACATCATCTTATGGGTGCTAAAAAAAACAGTGTATAATGTTTTTGTATTTGACTTGTTGTTTGTATAAGTGTACATTACGCATACACTTGGGGAATATCCCACAAGCGTTGTGAAAGCGTTGTGTCAAAGTAGCACACTTTCTTCAGTTTTATTGGGAACAAATTAACTAACTACAGAATTATTACAGCCATGGCGATTCGTGTTACACGTGACTTTCTCTCATTAATGGCAGGTATTTTTAAAGCTGGGTTTCCTGTGCTAAACAAGTCACGTGGGGTACAGGTCGAGATCAGTCACTTTATTAAGACGGTGTCACACAGGCTTTGCCCGGGGGGCGGGGGGGGGGGGGGGGGGGGGGGGGGGGGGGGGTACTCCCATATATGGACTATACGGGGACGATCCGCTAAACAGGGTATGGTTTTTCGAGCTTCTTGTCAGGGTATGCAATTTCACTCACGTTCCAAGTTCTTCCTGAGTTTCCTGTCATATTCATCATATTCAGGGTTTCTCCTTTCGTATTGACCGAAACTGGTTATTATTTTTGGTCGTCCAAAAAAGGAGACTCTGGGGGAGGGGGGGGGTACTCCCATATATGGACTATACAAGGATGATCCGCTGAACAGGGTATGGTTTTTCGAGCTTCTTGTCNAAAAAAAAAAAAAAAACAATACGCGAGCTGACATGATAATTGAAACAGGAACTCAGTGCAATTTATTATATCTTTTGTCACACAGGGTCTACAAATTTGAGTTTTTTTCTCATAAACAGGGTACCCCTTTCAGAATCCCAGCGGAACACCCCCACCCAAATCCTGGCGGAGTATTCCCCCGGGAGGCTATGTTCCATGTAAATGTACTTTGATGCATTCAACATGCAGTTTCAATAGGGATGTTAAGCAAAAACTGTGTCTTGAAATTTTTCCCAAACCGTTGCAAAAAGTAAAATAAGTATCAACTAAATTTTACTTTGACATTAGTGACATTAAATTGCAAGTACTTTAGTGTTGTCCACCTCTACGGAGACTAGGTCTTTTATTCTAATAAGGATGGCTGCCTGGTGTTAACATTTCATTTGGAGCCCCGGCACCTCCCCCCTCAGTACCACTTGCCTGGAGATAAGAAAAGAAGCACTTACTATTTTCGGATTTACTGAGTACTTGCACTGACGAGACGTTCAAGCCATTATTGTGCAGGATGATAAGATCAGTGTTGTTGTTGACCTCGATATCAATTCCAACACGACCATCAAATCGAGGCAGGTCAACAGTGATGTTCAGAAACAGGTTGTAATGTTTGGGGATGATGTTCGTAGGTAGACGTGGATTCCACCATGCCTCGGTACCAGGGGTGGTGGGGACAATGGGGGTCGGCATTGCTGTGGATGGCTCGGTGGCGTTCTCGTCAGGTTTTTCCAGCACTAAGAAAAAAAGATTCCCTCAATGACAAATAATTAACTAAGTTGCAGTGATGTAAAGGCGATTTCCTTTAAGAAATGATTTTGTCTGAAGTAAGCTAATTTTTTTCAGAAAGTTATTATTCTGCTCCCCAACTAAAAGAAACTTCTAAATTTTCTTCGTTAACATAACTTTCGAAATTGTGTGTGAGTCTTCCATAGCGCGCGTAATAGTCTTGCCCGAAAATGCCTCGTTTTCGAATCTGAGCACGCGATACTTTTGTCAGCGCTCGCGTAATCGAAAAAGATCTATTGGCCGCGTTTTTCTTTATATAGCGCGATCATAGACCTTTTTTGAGACAGCGAACATGGTGCATTGTGGTCTAGCTTCGGTACAAACATCTTTTGTTCGTCTTGCCTTATATGGTGTTGTTTGTACCGAATCTAGACCACAATGCATCCTGTTTATCGAACTCAGAAAAGGCCTATGTCCGTGAAATAGAATTGTTTATACACGTAGATATGATCCAATAATAATCTTATTGGTTTATGTTGCGCACGCAAATAGTTTTCTAGTCTATATGAATCATTGTTTACAAATTACTTTAGCCCTGATGATGCACTAGTCATGCGAAAGTTCGGAGTAAAAAAAGTCTATATGGCAATTGCCTTATCGTTAATAGACAGATTTACTAACACCATTGTTAGCATATGTTTGGGCAGCTATTATGGTTAAACGCATTAATTGTTGAGGCAGGACCAATTGGAAGATTCAGACTTATTAACTACGTACGTCAATGAAAAAACCGCTACCACTGGCAATGCGTAATGACGGTTGAGCATCTGGACTAGCCAAACGAAGGAAGAAAACTAAATATTTATCTCGATAATTCATTAACCATAACTGAATTATTTAAAAAAATTGAAAACTTTGGTCAGTTCAACGTTAGTAGTTAGATGTGGGTCTGTAGTAGTTAATTTGGCCAAAATAGAAATAGGACTATTATTTGAAAGGCGTCGTTGATGCGACGATTAGATCGACGGGCAGCACTTACTAATCTCACTCCTCCAATACCCAACATCGATTCTACGTGTAGCCAAGATCAGTTTAACCGCCGTCAATTTTTCGCTTGCCACACAAATGATTCTTGATCTAATTTTTGATTAGTGGTAAAAGAGGTGGCTTATTATTCATTGAGGACTGCGAAGCTGGAAGCCATATGCTTGATAGATAACTTATTTGTCTTACATGCCGAGTTCTCGAAGCAGGTTGCTTAACCATGCAAAGTCGCTTAAAATTGTAGGTCAAAATACATTTTTAGTTATCATCATTTCTGTCAGTAAATCAGATTATAAAGGAATGTTTGTATACATTCTTGATTAGTGGGTCATTGATATATTGAACCATAAATCAAACTTTGGACCCTAAATAAAGTCTATAAAACGGCTTCACAAACACCAAGACCTTTTTCTTTTAAATCAGCTAGATCAATAAAATTGTGAATTCGATGCCAATGCCGTTTGTTTTCGTCAAAACTGAATCCATATTCAAAATCAAAAGTTAAAAAAGACATCACTTTCGATATTCTGAAGTTGAAACCAAATAGATCAGTTAGTTCTTAGATTTTCTCCTTTTTTTTAACTCCAAGCAATAGCGTAATCTTCGCTTTCGCAAAAAGATCTATTCTGAAAGATCCATGAAAACAAAAACAAGTCCGATAAAATTTGACCTGTGATAGCTACCTTAATCTGCCGGAAGTCACAGACTTCACTGAGAGCATCAAAGCTAATATATTTGTTAACAGGTCAGATACAACATTAGCACAGTTGCTTTCATTGCCGCTTTGTGATAATCTAAAAATAGCCATAACAAACCGCATAACACATGCTTTGTTCATGCCAAGCCCAAAACTTCTGAACCCAACAAATTGCATGTATTTTGGAATAAAAATAAAAACAAGTGACGCGGAAAGGGTACATAAACATACTTTTTGTTATATAAATATCAATGTATCTAACGCTATTAATATGAGTTAATGTGGACTGTACAGCTYTTGATCTGATCATGAGTTCGGTACCCATCCCTTTTCCCCATCTTATAACAAGATGCAATATCCCTACCATTATGACTTTGAGACTGAAGAGAGCATGATATATCATTAGACATGTATTGTCAAAATACTACCGTGATTATATTACATCTGTCTAGCTATACTACATCACACAATATCATCGTAACCTTTATAAACCACCATGCAAACTAGTGATCTGCCGATAAAATATTTATATACAACCACACAAATTTCAAAATTAAACATACCTTCGCGCTTTGTGGCTGTTGCTACCCCGTACAAAACTGCTAGCACAATTATGATGATGACCAAAATAATAAACAGCACTGCCATTATTATCAGTTTTGTTCGGCTTAAAAACCATCCTTTTGAATCACTCGAATTGTCAGGTTTCACCACGGTAGACGGAGGGTGCAGAGGAATCTCTTCGTTAGGATGGTCTCGAGATTTCATTTTTTTTAGCCTTTTGAAGTCACGTAAGGAAGGATAAAATATAATTGATCTAGGAATCAAACGACTCTTGTCAAGGCGCTACTATGCTACATGGACAAGGGAGTGGTACGTCTGTAAAAGTATCGTAATTAATTGGTGATCCGCTAAGATGCTTTTCAAGGGACTAAGGTCGCGTTACAATGTAACCTTAAGTGTCACGCAAAGAAAAAATTCTGTTAAATTTTTACAGAGCCTTTGAAAGATTCGTATTAGACCGCGAGAGGACGACTTTTTCTCATCCATTGAAATGGCCTTATTCATAATCGAAACGTATATAAATAGAACTAGAACTAGAACTAGAACTAGAACTAGAACTAGAACTAGAACTAGAAATAGAAATATAATAAATATAACCGGTTTTATGAAAAGGTAACCCACCCCCCACACACCCCCCACCCCTAACATGAGCTTGCTTAGGTGGTCAGAATTTCACACTGGAATGCTTTGCAAGTGAAAGGTCAATTCCTGTTTTGGCGCCTTGTGCACACCCCTAGCTCCGCCCCTCCTTCCCTCTTCCCCCCCTCCACCCTTGGGAACCAAAATGTCAGCCATCTATGTAGCACTATAATGGGTCTCTTACCTTAATAATCTTGTCAGTTTTTCAGGTGCGCATGCACCGACTGAGTGTTGGGCCTGGGAAAAACAAAACAAAATCAAAACAAAGCCTTAAGCCAAGCTTGGCGCTGAGAGTGGAGCGCTTTGCAGAGGCAGTGGGGAAGCRTTGACGTCAGAACTAGGCTTGGCTGATCTGATTCTATGCCTTTGAAAAAGTACAATATTTCGTAAATCAAATGGCATAGCATGCAAATGCTTGGAGACCAACAACCAAACAAGAATACTTAAAATGCTGCAACCCACAGAAAGGCACCAATTATTGTTTTGGCCAGCCATGCATGGCCCAATTGGGTTATTCATGCAAATTTACTGATAGAAAATCATCTATTCTGGGTAAAAAATGAAGAAATCAAACATGAATTTCAAAAAGGGCAGCTGTAGAGGAAACCCCTTCAGCCTTAACTGCACTCGAATGCCTCAAAGTAGGTTTGGAATTCTAAAATCAAACCGAATTCCTGACACCCTAGGTAGGCTCTTTCGGGCAAGTCCTGGACCAAGAGTGAAGAGTAAGTTCTGGGGGGGATGGGCATCCCAGCATAGTGACCTTCTTAAAAAACAGGTTAGATAGCAAAGCACATAGTATGCTCGTTGCCAAGAAAACTATAAACAATCCAAACAACACAACTCATGATTTCAGTGATTCATAGATCTAGTAAGAGTAAACTCATACTCGAATACGGCATTTCATAGTTTACTCGTTGCCAAGAAAACTATAAACAATTCAAACAACACAACTCATGATTCCAGTGATTCATTGATCTCAGAGTAAGAGTAAACTCTTACTCGAATACGGCATCTTAGTATAGTTTATTTGTTGCCAAGAAAACTATAAACAAATGAATCCAAACAGCACTCATGATTCTAGTGATTCATAGATCTAGTAAGAGTAAACTCATACTTGAATACTTGAATCTTATAGTTTATTTGTTGCCAAGAAACTTTAAACAATCCAAACAACACTCATGRTTCTACTGGTTCTTTTTTCTATGAATAATAATGGGCCATGTTCATCAAAATCCTCACTAAAATCTTTCGATAAAAATGGATTCTATTAAACCAAATAGTATATCAATGATTTTGGGCTCGTTGCTGAATATACAAGAGAGTCTTTAATATCCAGGTCGCAAGCGACAACATTTTTTCAAATGAGACAAGTAAATGTTGGTTCAAAAATTACCAGTTTTCGAAGGCAAATGGATATTATTTCTGTTTTTTAACTGCGAAGTATTACTTTAGTTTTCAAGCCGCAAGCCCGGTATTTTGTTACCGTAAGTCCAAGAAAAGTTGCCTTGTATTAACGTGTCTGTCGCAAAATTGACTCGTTCTTTTGTAAATCGAGTCAAAATTTTCAAATTTTCCGCGCGCTTCAGTGATTACGAGCTAATGCAAATGAGGCGGCAAAGACAATATGTCCGGGCATTCTGCGCCCTAAAGAATAAGTCGTATTTTATAAAGAAATAAATTGATCTTCCCCATTCTTCACAGAAGATTAGAAAATAACCAAATAACTAGCATCGTGCAATTAAAAAAAAATGTTATTGTGCTATAAGCGTGGACTTGAAGCCTTCGCGTTACGTGAAATTCTATTCCAATAGCGCAGCGCAACCGTGACGTCATAAAAACGAAGACAAAGGC